GCAGTAAATCGCCGTAAAAAGTCGATGTCCCGCCGCATCATGGCCGCATCTCCGCGCGCCCGACCGCCTTCCTAACTTGGCCGAAGGAAAGCGGGGCCCACGTGACTGGGAAACAAGCGAGGCCACAACTAAGAATTTCCCAAAATCGACGCGACCTTCCGTACTTTTCGAACTTCATCGTCACGATTCAGATCGGACAACCACGAAAGTCGAAACATTTCACTTGCCCTTAAACATCCTATCTTCAGCGAATTAAGGAGACATGGGGGGCAAGTCTGCTACCAAGGCCGCTTACTTCGAGAAGCTCAAGGCCCTTCTCGATGAGTACAAGACGGTCTTCATTGTCGGTGTCGACAATGTCAGCTCTCAGCAGATGCACGAGATTCGTCTGAGTCTCCGTGGCGAGGGTGTCGTCCTGATGGGTAAGAACACCATGGTATGTGAATCTTTGAAATCACCAGTGCTTGATTTGCATGCTGATGAATTTTTAGGTTCGCCGTGCCATCAAGGGCTTCGTCAACGACAACCCCGAATACGAGCGTCTGCTCCCCTTCGTCAAGGGTAAGTGAAGTTGCTTCCAGAGTATGCAATGATATCAATTGGCTAACTCCGTTCTCTTACACAGGTAACGTTGGTTTCATCTTCACCAACGGTGACCTCAAGGCCACCAAGGAGAAGATCCTGGCCAACCGTGTCGCTGCTCCCGCTCGTGCCGGTGCCATTGCCCCTGGCGATGTCTGGGTTCCCGCTGGTAACACCGGTATGGAACCCGGTAAGACCTCTTTCTTCCAGGCTCTCGGTGTCCCCACCAAGATTGCTCGTGGTACCATTGAAATTACCACCGACCTCAAGCTCGTTGAGGCTGGAAACAAGGTCGGTCCCTCTGAGGCCACCCTGTTGAACATGCTCAACATCTCTCCCTTCACCTATGGTATGACCATCCAGCAGGTCTACGACCAGGGTCAGTGCTTCAGCTCTGCTGTTCTGGACATTGAGGAGTCTCAGCTCCTCGAGGCCTTCTCCAGCGCCATTAACACCATCACCACCATTTCCCTGGCTGTTAACTACCCCACTCTCCCCGCTGTTATGCACTCCCTGGTCAACAGCTACAAGAAGGTTCTTGCCGTTGCTGTTGAGACCGAGTACAGCTGGCCCGAGATTGAGGAGCTCAAGGACCGTATTGCCAACCCTGACGCTTACGCCTCCGCTGCTCCTGCCGCTGCCGCTGCCCCTGCTGCCGGTGGTGCTCCCGCCGCTGAGGCTCCCAAGGAGGAAGAGGAGGAGTCCGACGAGGACATGGGCTTCGGCCTCTTCGACTAAACGTCTCGTGTCAATGTTTCACGGGATACGACTGCCATGTATTAGATACTTTTCTTGCCGGTCTTGACGATTGGGTAAATGAAAATGATTGTCATGGTCATGAAACAATGATCTTCTCTCATCTAGATAGGGACGTAGTCACGTTCCCTGATCTGATGAACTGAAAAAGGTGAGCTTTCAACAATTCTTTGGTTTTTCTTGCTTCGCATATATGCCCACTCCCCGGTGATATGATGATACATTTTTAACCCAGAGCTACTTGCTTTGACGAACAAAAACAGCAACAACAAACACTCTAATTTTTTGCTGACACCATCTCAATCAATTTGCCATTTTATCACACATTACCTTTAATGGTCCGATAGCTAACAGCTTTCTCAGGTTCACAGATCATATGTAGCCCGGACGTAAGGCCGTCGCGCTGTTCATTACCCCAGAGGCTTGTTCTGTGGTTGTGTACAAGTAGCGGCTAGAAGAGCGTAGTACATGCAGGCTGTTGTTGGCTGTGAAGGATGTCATGGGGCGTGGGAGGAATATTTTCAATACATATAGCATATTACAATGAAACCAACGTCACATCGCTGCATAGTAATTTCAAATTGTGTAACATATTCCAATTGACGTAGATCAAGCAGATGTTCCAGGCTTTCGAACAGTTTGAAGCTTACCTGAGCCACGGAGGACGAGTCGAGTTCCGGCCCGAGGCCGCGAACGGTGGCAGGACTTGCATGTCGCAAGCCCCTCCTCCGCAAGGTCCCCTCCATCACTCCCACATCCCACATCAAAATGCAGCATCAATTCGAGCCATTGAAGAACGACCTCTTGCTGAGGGCAGCTAGGGGTAATTTTGATCTTAAACCAATATATTCGAAGAGATGGGACTGATATCATTGCAGGCGAGAAAGTCCAGCGTCCTCCGATATGGGTCATGCGGCAAGGTACGCCTCTCTCTACAAACTCCTCGTTTTGCACTCTTTCGACACTCGAGAGTAAATTAATTCTCTCTGATAACTGACCATGCTGTGCTTCTTATATAGCTGGCCGTTACCTCCCAGAGTATCATGAAGCCAAGGCTGGCCGCGACTTTTTCGAATGCTGCCGCGACCCCGAAGTCGCATCGACGTTGACGCTCCAGCCCATCGACCGCTACGCCGGACTCATCGATGCCGCGATTATCTTCTCCGATATTCTGGTCATTCCCCAGGCCATGGGAATGCAGGTTGAGATGGTCGACAAGAAGGGTCCCCATTTCCCCGAACCGCTCCAGTCGCCCGATGACGGACAGTACGAGAAAGTGATGCAGAAGGAGGTGGATGTCAAGTCGGAGCTCGACTACGTCTACAAGGCTATTACCCTCACCCGCCACAAGCTGCAGGGTCGTGTGCCGTTGATCGGCTTTTGCGGTGCCCCGTGGACTCTGCTGTGCTACATGGTAGAGGGAGGCGGCACGAAGCTGTTCGTCCAGTCGAAGAAGTGGATCTACAAGTACCCCAAGGAGTCGCAGGCTCTCCTGCAGAAGATCGCTGAGATCTGTGTCGAATACCTGGCGCTTCAGGTTGCTGCTGGTGCTCAGCTGGTACAGGTCTTCGACTCCTGGGCGGGTGAGCTGTCTCCGGCCGCTTTCAAGTCGTTCTCTCTTCCCTACTTGCGTCACATTTCGGCGAACCTGCCTAAGAAGTTGAAGGAGATGGGACTGGAGCCTGTCCCCATGACGGTCTTCGCGAAGGGTGCGTGGTTCGGCCTTGAGGATCTGTGCGAGTCGGGCTACAACGTTGTTGGCTTGGACTGGCTCCATGACCCCGCTGAGGCTAGACGGATTGCCAACGGTCGTGTGACGATCCAGGGTAACGCTGACCCCGGTGTTCTCTATGGAGGTCGCGAGGCTATCACCGAGGCTGTGGAGACTATGGCTCGGGGATTCGAAAAGGGCAAGCAAGGCTGGATCGCCAACTTGGGTCACGGTAAGCAGTTCCAGCAACTGAGCGAATTGCTACAATGCTAATGTTACACAGGTGTGACTCCTTTCGTCAACCCGGATGATCTCAAGTTCTTCTTCGAGGAGATCCACCGTCTGACGGTGTAAATTGGGGCTCAATGCGACCAAAACTAGCTTCCAATTCTTGATTATGTACATGAGAGCCTAGCCAGCAATATCATTGACACCTTCACGAAATTTAAAAGCTCAGACGGAAATGTCCTCGTTCCTGCAAAGACGTCTCACAGTCAGCTTACGTTCCAACAAAAATCTAGACCATTCCGATGAGATGCATGGGAAACTTACCAGAGCTCCGGCTTCTCCTTCATAAACTTCTCCATCAGCTGCTTACACTCTGCGTTGTCCAAAACCACAACCTCCTTCCCGCGGCTCTTAAGGTAGTCCTCACCACCCATGAAGCTCTTGTTCTCGCCCACGACAACGCGCTTAACCTTGTAGAGGATGCAAGCACCGGTGCACATGTCGCACGGCGACAGGGTAGTGTACATAGTAGCGCCCTCGTAGGCCGAAGCGGGCAGACGACCGGAGTTCTCGAGCGCGGACATCTCAGCCTATGACCGTAGAGATTAGAACCAAAAAACCATGCGATGCATGCCGCCTAGAGATAGATAATGGATGGGATCAACGAACATGCAACACCGGACTACCCTTCTGGACGCGCATATTGTGACCGCGGCCTAGGATCTTGCCATCCTTAGAGACCAAACAAGCTCCAATGGGCACACCACCCTCAGCAGCGCCTTGCTTGGCTTCTTCCACAGCAGCGATGAATCCGGCGTCAGACTCCATGATGGGTTGTGTTTGATGTACAATATTTGGAATATGGAATATAGAGCGATTGGAGGGGTAATGGGAGGGAGAGAGATAGATAGAAAAGATGGGGTAGCATCAAGCCGGAGCAAACTCTGTGTGGTTAACTGCCGGACTGACCCGCATCGGGCTGGACGTGCGGAGCTCCATGATAATGAGAGGGGAGATAGTAGGTGCTGTCATTGAGATGGGGGTATGTTGATACATTCGTACTTGATAACAAATTCATTGATTATGTGTGCATGTGATAGACTTTCTTGGGTTATGGTCATGCATAAGGTGCTTTTCGAGGGTGCTTGGGGATCGACATGCATAAGCGCAAACCAGATGCTTGACATCTCATGTCTCGTATATAACTATAACTTAATGTGATATCCGTTGATTGTATATGAGACATCTTATCTAGATCTATAGAGACGGATGGTAATGCCCTTTTTCTTGCAACCATCCATTCACAATCTAATATGTTACAAGATCAGACTAGCAGTGGCTGATAAACTCGGGGTCATCCCGCGCAAACCCCATGCCAGTCATATCTGCTAGTAGTATTCCCTCTTATCGCAGAGATCAATCTCTGAATCTTTGCTCCACCATCATGGCAAGAACCATAGAATTGACTTTATTCCTTGGTGGTCTGGTACCCGGAACAATGAATTGCCTCTACAGCAGAAGAAACCGTAGAGTATACGTACCAGGCATTTGCCAGATAAACCGAAGCCCACTGGCAACTGGCGATCGCGAGGAATACTAATAGTAATCTCCAGGTGGGGAAAATCCCGACAGGCTTTTTCTTCCCCTCCTTCCGCATTGGGCTGATCGCCTCTCCTTATCGATAAGCCGACAATCAGCCACCGCCCGCCACAATCCCGGTGCCTGAGGCAAAAGAAAAGTAAAGAATCTGTGACCTGGAGACAAGGCAGATCCGGGCGGCTACGTCAAAGTTTAATTCTGCAGTTTCTTTTTTCTTTTCTTTTCTTTCTTGGATTTTACCCATTGTATTATATTGGGTACGTATTTTGTACATGTAAGATGGGAAGTGTTAATAGTAAGTGAGTGTGGATGGAGGGATGCCACACAATACACAGCATTTAGTACTTCGTGTATGATTGGACTGTAATACCCAGGCAGACCCTGTCGCATACTACCGACTTGTGGAAAGGACCAGCTTACTTTAGGATCACCCCTCCATGCTGTAGTAGTATCGAATGAGATAGAAAGGAAAGTCCCGGTGATACATACAACTTTTTGGGCAAACAACCAGAAAATGGATGCAACCAACGCTCTCTCCACGGTCACGAACCGGTAATTACCAGGGCGATTGTCAGCGATGGAAAGGCTGCGAAAGCGGTGGAAGGACACAGAATCGCATCGAAGCAGTCGGAAAAAGCGCTCGGGCCATGAAGGCTGCGGGTGACGGGGCTTGTCGAAGCAAAGAGAACAACTCCATTCAGCCTGAGACGTTGTCATCGTGGTCATGACAATTTGTTCAAAAGCATTCGACGATCTCTCCTTTCGTGTTGAGATCTGATCCTTTCAGATTCCCATCTGCCCCCAATCTTCTATTTATTAAACTCCAGCTCCAGCCAGTTGAAGCGCGGTCGCTCATCTTCTCCAGCATTTCTATACTTCCTGGAGTTTCGCCCCATCGTATCTCCGGTATTTAATACACAAATCTCGAAACTCTTGGCGGGACTTCACTGCGCTCGTGCGGCAAATCAAAGGTCGATTGGTGCCTGGTCCTGGTAATCTGATTACACATACGATACCCTCTCACTGTGTCTCAGCCGCCGCCCTGTCGCCGCTTTCTCTCTTCTCTGGCTCTGTCTCCTGGCCTTGATTATCACCCGGACGGACCCTCTCTCTCTCTCTCTCTCTTTCTCCAACTCTTCCTTCTTCCTTCCACCTCTCACTTGTCCCCTCACGCCTTCGAGACTCGTCTCCCCTCGTCTCTTTAACTCCCCCTCCTTCTTTCTCAAGGACTTCTCTACACTCCTTGGTTTCGTGCCCTCTTTGTTTCACCTGTTCCATACCCCGGTGTAAGGTTTTCTAGGATCGGATTGTTCCGTTTCGTCCCTCCGAAAAGTTCTTGATTCTTCTTTATTTTCCCTCGGCTTCTCCTCGTCGCCCAACTTCCCTCTTCCGATTTTTCTTCTAGACACAGATCACAATGGTCAAGGAAACTAAGTTTTACGATATCTTGGGGGTATGTTCTGGGTTTTCGCCAAGTCTGGCTGGTTTTGCACCTCACAGAAACTAACGGTGAGGCGGTTAGGTTCCCCCGACGGCTTCTGAGGCCCAACTGAAGTCTGCCTACAAGAAGGGTGCTCTGAAGTACCACCCTGGTAAGTACGAACTTGAATCGCGAGAGCGGTGCTTTTCACGAAATATCTAGGGGTGTTTATTAACGCGACTTTTTCATAGACAAGAACACAAACAACCCCGAAGCCGCTGAGAAGTTCAAGGAATTGTCTCACGCTTACGAAACCCTCTCCGACCCCCAGAAGCGTAGCCTCTACGACCAGCTCGGTGAGGAGGGTCTTGAGCATGGCGGTGCTGGCGGTGGTATGGGCGCCGAGGACCTTTTCGCTCAGTTCTTCGGCGGCGGCGGTGGTGGTTTCGGCGGCATGTTCGGTGGTGGCATGCGTGACCAGGGCCCCAAGAAGGCTCGTACCATCCATCACGTTCACAAGGTCAACCTCGAGGATATCTACCGCGGTAAGGTCTCGAAGCTGGCCCTTCAGAAGTCCGTCATCTGCCCGGGTTGTGATGGTCGCGGTGGTAAGGAGGGTGCTGTCAAGTCGTGTACCGGCTGCAATGGTTCCGGTATGAAGACCATGATGCGCCAGATGGGTCCCATGATCCAGCGATTCCAGACCGTTTGCCCCGACTGCAATGGCGAGGGTGAGATCATCCGTGAGAAGGACCGCTGCAAGCGCTGTAACGGCAAGAAGACCACCGTGGAGCGCAAGGTTCTCCACGTCCACGTTGACCGTGGTGTGAAGAACGGCCACAAGATTGAGTTCCGCGGCGAGGGTGACCAAATGCCCGGTGTTTTGCCCGGCGACGTCGTTTTCGAGATTGAGCAGAAGCCCCACCCTCGCTTCCAGCGCAAGGACGACGACCTCTTCTACCAGGCCGAGATTGATCTGCTCACTGCTCTTGGCGGTGGTACCATCAACATTGAGCATCTTGATGACCGGTGGTTGACCGTGACCGTCGCTCCGGGCGAGGTCATCACTCCTGGTATGTGCTTCCCCTCTTTAACCTCGACTTCGGCGCATCAGTCTAACGTTCTTTCTGCAGGTGCTATCAAGGTTATCAAGGGCCAGGGTATGCCTTCCTACCGCCACCACGACTTCGGTAACCTCTACATCCAATTCGATGTGAAGTTTCCCGAGAAGGATCAGCTCAAGAACCTCGAGTTGCTCGAGCAGGTCCTGCCTCCTCGCATGGAGCAGTCCCAGCCCCCGCAGGACGCCATGATCGAGGACTTCGAGCTGGAGGACATCGATGGCAGCGAGACTTCTCAGGCTCGCGCACACGGTGCCGCCAACTCCATGGACGAGGATGACGATGATGTTCCTCCTGGCGCTGAGCGTGTGCAGTGCGCATCGCAGTAAACGGGGAGTTTAGATGAGGAGTGATGATGTTGTGCTGGGGCTTGATGAAATTCGCTTATGATACCATGTGAGGGGTTTCGGCCCCGGTACTGCTCGGTTCTGTTATGTTCGTGCGATGACTTATTTCTGCGATGGCGTTTGCACTAAGATTCGGGAGATGAAATGGAGATTTTTTTTCTTTTCGTTGGATGCGTTTTCCACCATCTTCACCACCATCACGCAGTGGTTTCCCATGCTATAATGTTCTCTTTTCCTTTTTCTTTTATTGGGAATGGGGGCCTCTGGGGTTTGATGAGTGGATGAGAGACGATGTTATATGAGTCAGCTTCTTTTCTCCTTGACTCCGGGGAAACATGTCGGAAGGTTGAGCGTTTCTTAGTTTATAGACTACACAGCACGGCTTGGGTATATCATGCTTCTGGGTTCAGACCTCCATGTAGCGGTATAGAGTAATCTTATGGCTATGCCTTCAACCTCTGGAGGTCCAAATAGAGACACCCGATATTCAACAGCAAAGACAACGTCCTACCTCCTTCGCCTTACCTCCCAATTCTCAATCTCAAATACCAGAACAAGAGTAAAAAAAATAGAACAAGGAAAATTACACCCCGACACCCAACACAGTCCGACATAATTTACTTTGTAGTATTTACCCACATATCGAGCTCGGCCCGCAAACACCCCCCCACCCCACCACCACCACCGCACACCCCTCCACAACGAAACCACAAAAACAAAATGTTAAGGGGGAAAAAAAACAAAAAAAAAAAAACAAAAAGAAATGTCCTCAGGGAGGTTCGAACTCCCGGCCTTGGGATATCCAGGAAATTGAGATGTTTCCTAGTCATATTCAAGATGTGATATGAGACCCACGTGATAACCAACTACACCATGAAGACATGTTGTTATGTCAGCGGGGAGGGAAATTGAATTGATATTCCCAAGCCAAGGGTTTGGTGGGATACTAGTTAGTTAGGAACGACAAACTAAAAAAGTAGGCATATGTAGTTTAATCCGGATTATGTAGTGACCATTAGTACACTGCCTTTAATTATTCTAATTTTCATACAATAGTATAAGACAGAGCTACATGAATAAACATAATGGGTAATATAATACAAATCGATGGTCAATACACAGGATATATGCTATTCGCTAAGACGGTTTTGAAATATACATGATATAGTAGTAGTACGAGTATCAATTGCCATCATCACCACCCCGTCCAAACCTGCCTCCAAATCCACCCAGATCCCGACGGAAGAATTTTCCAATGTTCTTCAGATTCTCGTTCAGGTTGCCTGCGGCGGTGGTGCTTTCTCCGCCCTGCGTTTGTGTTTGCCCCAGCGGTCCAGGAGTAGAGGCCGGGCTGGTCAAAGCGCCGGATATGGCGCCACCACCTGGGGTCAGGTTAGTCGTGTTGGCTGAGCTCATTGGCGTCCCGAATCGATCTACACCGTCTTTGGCGGCGGAGATGATGGCGGACCCGAGCATGGTAGGGTCGAAGCGGGTGGAGGCGCCGATGGATGCTGCGGCAGTGCCGAGACCGAGACCCTGCGAGACGGTGCCGGAGGATGGTGTCGCGGAGGCCTGCATGGCGGACAAGATGGGGTTGCTCTGCTGGAGGTTCGCTGCGTAGCGATCAGATGCTCGATGGATTTGGAAGAGTTCTAAGAGGTGGTTTTGTTCCTGGCGACTGCGAATGCCCTTGATGTCGAGGATCTTGCGGAAGTTGGCGTTGTTTTGGTCGGCGATGTGGACCAGGTAGGCCTGGACGAGGGCCTCGGGAGGAGACGGTTGAACTTGGAGAGTCTTGAGGAGGGCTTCGATCTTCGCGAAGCTGGCGTTGACGCGCTTTACAAAACCCGCTGGCGCGGGGCTGGGGAGGAGCGACGAGAGGCCAGTCTTGAGAGTGTAGGCATCCAGGAGCATCTGATATGATCTGTTAGTTCCAATTAACGTTACAATATCAGCTGCGACAGTGAACCTACCTGCTCTGCACCGGTCTCCGCGATCGGCTTGCACTGGAAGACAGTCGCAATGAATACGTTCGATATCAGCTCCACCACATGGTCTGCAAATGCGCGGGCATACTGTTGCTTATGCAGCAGCTGCAACAACTCAGAGCATCTTGTCTGCGCCTTGGACATTAGCTCGCCGACATAGGAGCTTTGGTCGCTTACGCCCTCCAGCCGGTTCCAGGGTGTGTTGCGCATCTCCCGCCAGCAGGGCTCCAGGTCAATCTCGACCTTACGCACTAGTCCTCGAACAGCTGCAGAAGCAATTCCCATGAACGAGTCCGCTTGACTTTGTAGGTCCACCGTCTGTTTGAGATTTTTGTCGAGCCTACCCTTGATCTTTTCCTCTAATTGATTGCAGGTCGTGTAGCAATAGTCCGCGGTGTTGAGGACTAGGATAAGTTCCTCGGTACCTGGTACCTTCGAGGGAGTGTGACCCGTAGGCCTTTCACTGATGTAATAGAGCAGGACCTGTGCATACTGATCGAGATACTTCGCGAATACCTTCGCAAGCTCCGCAAGGCTAGCGCCAGTAGATAGCTTCGCGCATTGCTGCAACGAATGCCGGTAGAACGTAAATAGGTCGGTGGAAGAGGATATAACAATGTGCGAGTCAAATTCTTCATCCGCCGGCTTCGCGGGTTGTTGGCGGTATTTAGGGATAAGCGCAGCCAGCTGCTTGTCCTGGGCCTCAACCCAGACGCTCAGGTAGGGCTCGAACGCCTCTGAGATGGCTTGACCAAAGACTGGTGCCTCACTCGAGGCGAACGTATCCGTCGAAGGCCGAGATGGACTGACAAACCGCCGCTCAAGGGAATGCTCAAAGTCCAGCGTCTCTTGTAGACAGGACAGTAGCAGGTTGACATCAATGGTCTGGCCATTGCGCACCGATCGGGAGAGAATACCCTTGAAGTCCTCCCGCGTACCTTCGCAAAAGACATTCGCCAGAATCTCGTTGACCCTCCAGGAGGCGGGAAAGATGGGCGCATAATCCTCATCGTAGTTCTTCAGGATCCGCCTAAACCAGGCATACCGCCGCGAGATGTTGTCCAGTGAGCCGGCCTCTTCGTTGTTCCTAAAAACCTGGCGATATTCACGTAGCTGGAAGTTGCAATACCAGGTCACCAACCTAGACTTTGCGTGATCACCGAGCGCATCCATGACCAAGCAGCCCTCCGAGAGCACGTGCCTCTTTTGGCCAACTTCCCCTTTCGCGAACGCCAACTCGAAGTCCTCGCAGACTTGCTCCAGAAGCTCCCGTTGTATATCCGCAACGTTCCGACTGAGCAGCGCAATCTGATCGATCGAGCGATACGACTTGAAGTGCGCCATCAACTGTATGACCGCCTGTAGCAGCTGAGCACAGTCGCGGTACTGCCGCGTCCGGCCCAGAGAACGTAGTTGGTCGTAGGCTGTCGTTAGCATCTGCAGTCTCTTCAGGACTGTCATCGACAGCGTGAGGTTCTTCTTCGCATTGTCCAGCTGCTTGATATCCGCCGTCATCTCCGTAATGGCCAGCTCCGTCCTGGACGCGCGGTCGCGCACATCGTCAATCTTCTTGAACAGCTCCGTCAAGTCGGCCTTGGCGGCCTGGATGCGCTCGACACTCTCCGCATTGGAAGTGACCTGGTCTTCGACCAGTGCGCCGATATCGTTGTCGAGCTCATCCTCATATTCGTGGAGGGACTGGGAGACCTGGGACACCGACGACAAGGTAGAGGGATGGGAAAAGATTGAGTTCAAGTGGTCGATCGGATCGTAGTCCGCTGTGAGATTGGATCTATCAGCAAGCTTCCCGATGGGGTAGGTTGTCAATGGCAGCCCTCACCTGCGTCCAAAGGATCGAGGGGGCCCTCCCCGTTGGAGGGCATTTGGCCGGGGGTGGTGGTAGTAGTAGTGGCGGACATTCCATTAGCTCCTGAGCGTCAACGCCAGACACATGCTGCAATGCCAGCTAGGGGGCATCCGCCAATTCAACATGTAAACATAAACCCAGGAGCGAAGGCTACCAAAGGAGTGAAAAGAACCCGAAAACGACAAGCTGTAAGGACCGCGGGGGAGGGTGTTGATGCCGGAGCCGCAGGTCGGGAAGTTGGCGACAACTCAGCCCGGCTCCGTCAATCAGTCAGTCACGGGCAGCTCTGAGTCTTAGCGCTTTGCCCGCGCCGCCGGGCCTCGTCATCGCCTCTGGTCTGTTCGTCGGAAACAGGACAGGCGCATGATAATCCTACGTTTGAAATTTTCTATGAGGGTCAATTCTACAAGCTATTCAGAGAGATAGATGGATAGGTCAAGTGGCATCAACCTGGAAGTCATTGCCCCCAGGATCGATCCTAGGTTTCTGGTTTGATTGAACCACCCCTTGTACCGCAGGTCTCGTCTATATGGACATGAAAATTATCGTGGTCTTTTAGTATACATCGAAGGAAAACTAAAGCAATTGTAACGAGCTCCGAAGCCATTCGCCCAAGCCATGCATCAGCAAATCACAAATAAAGAGACAGTCGACTCCGATCAAACACCACCAGGAACCTCCCGACGAAAGCCGGGGATGCGAAGACCCGACTAAGTCTGGAGGAGAATCGCTCGAGAAGTTGTTCCTCGTTCATTTGGTATATCTTCTTCTTCGGTTCTCTTTTTCATTTTTTCTTTTGATTATTGGCCCTTCCCTCCTTGGTCAAATTACACTGCTGCAGGTAGAAAAGCATCCGGAGGCAGTGTTCCCTGCGCCTGCAAAAACTTATTAGCGCATGGTTGTAAGTGAAGAACACACTCTAGACTCACCTTAAGTTCCTCGAAGTTCTTCAGTGCAGCCTCCATATTCCAGCCGTTTCCAGACAAAGCCATCTCAGAGTACTGAAGGGTCATCCGAGTATTAGAGCTCATCTGAAGTACTAGCTGCTCTTGCTGGACTTGTGTGTCCGCTTTCCCAGGGGCCGGCATGCCGTAGCCTTCGGGGGCACCCGGAATAGCTACTGGTAG